ACTGATGATGGATGTGAAACCGGTGCAAGAAACCCTACAACAGATGCGGAGGTCCCGGCAACCGGCGTAACGAAGAACTAGTAATGTTTCGGGAAGGAGAGCGAGGAAACTGCAGCAGCCGAACCAGCCGAATGTGACATTACTGCGCTTTTTCTCGTTCAATGCGGGTCTGCTCTCTACCTTTGACGTCGAGAGATAACACGATTCGGAGCGCTGAAACATCTATTCACCAGCCTCAGTGCCAATGTCCGTCGACACCACCGATGGCGACCACCCATTAATAGGCGACCTGTATCGATGCGCGGCAAACAGAGTCAAACGCTTAAGCGGCGGTTCCAGCCCTACCGTAGCTGTTACTCGGAGACCTCTTAGATGGGATCACGTTTATCATGGGAACGGGTATACCCTGTTGTTGGCTGTGCCCGCATATAAAACGGATTGGTGGGACCTGGGTGGGGGATCATCCTTTCATCTTCGAATACCTTGGCCTAAGGCTTGACGCCCTCCGGTAATACCTTTCGTTCTGTAAACCACACCTCCCCGTATAACTCAGGTATGTAGTTGACTTGAGTCTCTCCTCCATATTCTGACATTCCGACTGTAGCATGCCTCTCGAATTCCTTCGCCGCAGACGCATGACTCATCACGAAGCAGCAGCAGGCGTTGGCGCCCCGCCGCCACACCCCGTACTCAGCCCTACGCCTGCTAGCCCAACGATATCTGAACTCGCGCTGGACCCAAAGTCATTCCAGAGGATGTCTTCGCCTGCGTTGTCGTCAGACTCGCCACAGTCGTCTGCGAAGTCTTTGGCGGATCTCGTCGCCGACAACGATATCTATGATGCCATTTTGGCGTCGAGCATGAAACATGCTAGGCTTAGCGTAGACCCTGATGCTTTCATGCCTCCTCCTTCGAGCGCGTTGTTGGCGCCGCCGAATACTCCCGCTGTTGCGGTGGAAAGGAAGAACTGATTATTACAGTCTCGGTTAGTTCATAAACGAGTTAGAATCCTAATATCAAACTATTTACCAGGACTGTAGTGTACTTATGTTGTATGTAATGCCTCGACTGTATAATACCATTTTGGCAATTTTTGTACCAATTCGTCATGATGAAAAATCGGACACGATCGGACAAATTACTTCCGATGCGTCATCCATCATTGATTTGCTGGTTGCAGTTGGATTTCTTTTCACTTCCTCCCTCACTGTCGTCGTCGCCACACTCCCTCGTCTCGTCACTCCTTCTCTTGAGGACGACCACTTTCAGAAATGGACGTCGTTATACTTCCGCGAGGATTCAGGAGGGCTCACTGAGAAGGCAGCGTTACTTGACAAGAATTGCCGTCGTCGGCGTTCGCTATCTGGACAGCATTCAAGTACGTGTCAGCAACTGTTGGAATGCGAATATTGCTCTTGATGAATACAGTTGTGATATCTATAGCCATCCCCGTCAACACCTTGTTGATGTGGCGTCGGTGGCGTCGTTGCCTGTCACTGAGGAAGGCTGGCGGGCCTCTTCGACCTGGATATATGCCCCTTATTCTTGCTCAGAACTGACTATATGCGCATTAAATGGAGCTATAGTGCTTTAAATAACCTGTCGATGAAAGCACCGGCGTCCATCGTTGCACCCGTGGATAGACAACGACCTCGTCATTCGAAGGCTGTCCGTAGGCGGCATCGCGAGCCTCGACTTCCCCTCTGAACTCTTTGAAGAGTTTTTCAATCGCTGAGAACGAGATCTGTGAAGGGGGTCAGTCCCAGTATCTGAGGCTAGGTTGGCTTCACCATTTGCGGGGGCCAAGAAGCTGAGTTCTGTGTCGTCGGCGGTGGGCGTCGAGAAGAAGATTCTGCGTTCGCCTCCGGTTTGGCCGATGTTGCCTTCCTTACGCCGCGTCGATGGCGTCGGGTGTGCTTTGGGACGTTGAACATTGACATGAGAACGACAAATGCTAGGCCTCCCGCGCTCAACGGTTTTGAAAGATAGAAAGATAGGTCGAAGATATGATGCAATTGTACGTGCAGTTCATTTTCCATTTTATGAGATGCTCAATGCCACTCCTTAGACAAAGGTCAATTTCTCTAAGGGGCAGCGCGTATCAGCCCTTCTTTGTGGTCTTTGTTCTCAGAAACAGAAATTCCTTTTCTACTTTACAAAGGTCCTTGAAGCCTGAAGCCTTGCTGTCTACGAAGGGAACCTACCATTCATCGTTACGCCATTCAGACTACTTTGCGCGTGCAAATTCCATTATCTTGTCGCATGCCATGACCTTCCCAGAATAGTTTCGGGTGTCCTCGGCTAATGACTTGGCCGCGACCCGGAATCGCAAGGATTCATCACCTCCGCCGATTACCTTAATCAGAGCGCGACTGAGCTCAGGAGCTTCTACTCTTGGCGCAGATTCCTTGTTCCCGTAAATGCCGATCCCGAGCCATTCAACACGCGCTGCGTAATCTTTTTTTCAGTTAGATTCCATCTCAATGCCGGTAGCTCACCATAGCAATCGTACCACATCGGCAGAACTATTTGAGGGATCCCAGTGCTAATCCATGGTTAGCAGAGTTCGACACTCGGTGAACTGAAAGAAACGTACTGAACTCCCTCATAGACGCTGTTAGCTCCACCATGATTGACAGTACAGACAACATTGGGATGCCTGAGGATTGCTAATGGTTCAACATCTAGCCAGTCAACAATCCTCACTCTCCCCTTCGCCATAAAGATCCCTAAAATATCGTGCAAGGAAGTCTTCACGTCGTCATGTGCTTTTAACTTCCAGATAACCTGAACGGAATGGTCGTGATCAAGCAGGATGTGCAAAGCCTTCGCGAGTTGACAAGCATTCTTCTCATCAAACACAGCGTGCGTCCCCAGATTGACAAGCACGGTTGGTCCGCTGTCAAGCCAACTGGCGAGTTCCGAGTCTTTCTCCTCCACTGGAATTGCTGGAACAAGGATGGGGCCACACAGCGTTACGTTGTCCGGAACGACACAAGGAAAGTCGGTTTTAGGGGTGGCGGGACAGAGGTAATGTGCATCGGCCATGTATGGTTCAAACATGGGAATGGTGTTATTGAGACCGAGCTTCTGACGGTATTGGACGAGTTCTTGGATTTTGGGGGAAGAGAACATGAAATACACCATGGCGCAAGTGAGAAAAGCATTCTTCGGAATGTGATACCACGACATGGGGTACGGGATACCGGACGACATGACAGGGTATTTCCAGAATATGGAGCCGTACGGCTGGATGCGGCCGATGATGTCCTGTATATCAAAAATACCTGTAGGAGCACGAACTGCTATAAAGCGAAGGCGAGTCTCACCTTGGGTGCATTCGGTGTCATGATAATGAACTTTAGATTTAGGAATCGACACGCGTCAATAGCCTGACTCAGGAAGTATTCAATCACGATAGTGTGTGCGTTAAGGTCCTGGATTATCTCGACACAGCTGTCGTAGAGTTCCATGTACTCCGGCCCCGACCATTCGGCGACGTAGTACGGCAAACGTCTAAAACTCCGGGGAGCGCCAGCGAGACTGGGCGCGTGGGTGGGGGTGTTGGTTCCGATTCTGCGTATCCGAGCCTCTTTTAGGGATATTCCCCTGAGAGGATGGAAGAATACCCGGGCAGAACTGCCTGTCACACGGATACGGTCCTGCAGGTCCTTGATACGGGGTGAGAGCACTTTCAAAATCAGCATCAGCGGATAATGAGGATCGAACAAACGAAATCAAGTCACCGGGAAAAGACGCAATGTGTACTTCGACATTTGGGTGAAGGCAGAGCTCGTGTGCGACGGAGAGAACAATGTTGGCTTGCCCGTATTCACTGTTCGTGAAGAACAGAATTTTTCTCGGAGTCGAGGTGTCAGTCATGATCAATAGAGCTGAATGAGCAAGATGGTGGGGAGTTGCTGCTGGCTCGCCATTTTCGGTCAATGCAATTTATTGTGGACATTTCTGATAGATTGTATGTGAGTCGAACGTCATTGAAGAGACTCGAGCCAGACCTCACCTGCGCAGGAGAAGCTTCCAAATCAAGAACAAGGAGAAGGCGCACAAAGTTCGCGTGATGCTCGTGAAGCGACAATGCGGGCGGGCGTCGGCGAATCCACGTCACTTTAAATGCACATTCCTCGCTCTGCGACTTTTATTTGGGTCGTCTACAACAACGGCTTCTCTACAGTTCTTAGAGCGAATACGAAAGTGTTTGAGTGGTGTTGTACTCGCAAGAGTACTTATGCCACTAAGTTGCAAACATAAACGCTGAGTAGATTTATGCCCGATTGCAGTAAATCTAAATGTAGATGTCACATCGAGTCTGCGGATGGACAAAGAAGGCGAGATCACTGCATTTAGTGCCCCAAAACTGTTCGGTGTCAGCCTCGACGGATCAGGAATCCGATCGATGGGGAAAAAGAGAGTAAAACTAATGGTTGAAGGTATGGAGGAGAATGTGGACCGCAGCAACACAAATGGACGGAATAGAAGCCCGAGAAACATGCCATGGACGTTCAGCCTGACATTAGTCGTTTCCGTGTCCCGTTTGCACGTCGAATTATAAGGACGAACTTTTACTCGCCAATTTTTTACCCACTTCAGATTGTATTGGTACGAAGAAATTTTTTTTTTGGTGGAACGGTATCCCTCCCGGAGGGGGGACTCGCAGGACGTGGAGCCGACATAGTCGTCCCACGTCTGTGCCGTTGGTTTGCGAGACACGCTCGCTCATGTCAGTATCACCCGAGGGAAATGCATTACGCGCTCAGTGTGGAACTCGGTACAGCTATTTCTTCATCTTCCTTCTTTCGCATTACTTACCTTCTCTTTTCATAGCCCTATACCCACTAAAACACCGGCTGCTCCCGCCCAGTCGCTGGGGAGCTGTCCTTACGAAGAAATCTTGAAATGGGGGACTATTGTAAGCGTGGGGTAAAGTTCGTTCAAATCATATGTCCGCCGATACTCAGAACCATACGAAATACATCGTTCGTGGTGAGATGGCCGAGCGGTCTAAGGCGCCAGACTAAGGTGGTTCGATGGGTAGCACCTATATCGAGACAGGTCACGTGGTTATTACGTAATAATCTGGTCCGCAGGGGCGTGGGTTCGAATCCCACTCTCATCAAATATTTTATTTATTGAACAAACTTTTCAGATTTCCCAATCCATTTCTGCGCAGTACGCCACTCTACTCGAGCGATCATTGATGAGGGTCAATTCCTGGGCTTGGAATCCGCAATTTTTAATGGAAGTTTGGACTCCTCCCTCTATGTTGTACTCGCTACATTTAATTGCTATCCAATTAATCGCTAACTTCTAGTCCATGGCGTGGGGGCTTTCTTTCACTGGTCGGCCGTACACTAGGACGATTCATACATTGAAGCGTCTCTGCCAGACATACCTCGCTGCTAAATTAACGCGTCATTGTACACATAGTAATTATTACCACGTTCATGCATGATCTGTTTTCCTCATCTCATCAACAACGTCATTGTAGTATAGCGATAATAGCTTGTAGACGGTAGGTTGGTCTGAGACACTGTCTCTGAGGACATGAGTAGGACTACTGACAACTACGGACAGATGCCCTTTACATTACTCGATGTTGTAAATTAGTATATGGTCGTGATATGATGGCATAATGATTAACCCACACTAGGTGGGTACAAAATACGAAGAAAGGAATGATGGTAGCATAGAAATGTCAAAATCAATCAGAGTGCAGCGTCATCGTTGAGGCTCTATCCGTTCTCCCAAGACTCTCTGTGTCACCAGTGTCCACATCTGCTGTCACCGGCAACACGTATTCCGCTTGTTTCGCGTGAGCCCAATGCGCATAACACGGATGTCTAGTGACCACCCTCCGCCGAGGACCGGAGTGATAACGCAAGAAGTAGTCCCGAAATAATTCTCGGTTCAGCTTGTTGGCGAGCTGTTTCCATCCATCATATCGAGAGCATTCTTCTAAAATATTATCAACGTCCTCGGCGAGAGGGTCGAATTCGAATGGGGGGAGGTCGAACGCGTCAGGTGTGACGGGGAGAGAACTGTCGGACATGGAATCGTCGTCGTCATCGTCATTCATGTGAAATGAATTCAGGATGGGGGATGTGTCGGGTGTGTTGTAGCATGTCGTATCGTTGGAAGATACGGAGGAGCATGCATTGAATGAATCATCACTGTCTGTAACGTCGGTCGTGATTTCGTCGTGAAATGGGGTGAAGGGCTCTCCGGAGAGCGATAAAGGGTTGGAAGAGGGAGGAGGGGTCATGGGATTGTCGCAATTAGCATTAAGCCCATCCATAGTCTTCTTCAGACGCTGTAGATTCAGCTCCAGAATCTGTACAGTCTTATATGAGGCAAAGGTCGACGTTCTTTAGAATGCACGTACCATTATCTCCCGTACACGGGGAACACGAGAGATCTGTACGTCTTCCGGGAATTCGTAGCGGCTACAGGTCGAGTTCATGATCACGGTCAACGCGATGATAAAAGAATAGATGAGGAATCAAGCAAGCTCGGGATGGGAGGGGGAAGGAAGGGAAGGGCAAGATGACATTCCCGTCGCGGTCCCATGTATAAGTATCATGAGGAATAAAGGACCCGCATCAAGCAGAGTTTCTTTGTACTACCTTCCTTTGTGTTGCCAATTTAGGAACCCGTCTACGCATCCGTGTAGCAGAATTTGAAACTGCGCCGACCACGCCTTACCAAAATTGCCGAACAATGCGCTGCACGGATGCGGTTGTGATACAAAGGCGGGGCGGCGCACCCTGTTGATAGTTACAATCTAACATATACACATCGATTATACGCAGTAATACGTTCGCATATGGTAAGCGTGTCAAAACCTAAATGAACCTCAAAATTGGTGCCAGTGTACAGGATATTTTTACCTTCTAATAAAACATGCATAAGAGATAAAAATGGGATTAAGGATGCCAAACGTCCATATAAGTAGTCCTGAAAGTTTTATGATGATTCCGAGTCCGAAGTCCCAGGAGTAAAGTGTGTGGCGCAACATGGTACAAGGAGGATGGTGACGATGAATGAACAGCATAATGTTGTGGCCGGTAAGTCAGGGAGTAGGTTCCGGGTCCGGATTAAACGGCATAGCATCATCTTCCTCTTCTTCCATGATTGGAGAGTCGATTTCCTCATCGTCCGGATCCGCGTCCGCGTCCGGGTCGGCTTCGTCGAAGATGGCATGGAACTGTAATGGTATCAATCAGCGACGAAGAACGACAATCCATGAAAGAGTAGTACATGTGTAATGAGCGCTTTAACGAGTTTATTCGTGTGTCCCATGTTGGCCAGAAGCATGGTGAAGTCGTTTTTGGGAGGGCGCAGCAGATTGGGGCTGAAAACGATCGACAAAGCTTCTGCCGTCATTTGATTATACTCTTCAAAGTCCGTAACCCTGTTGTACGAATGAGTTAGAAATAAATCTACAGAATGTAATACATACTTGTCGAGGTGCTCCGAAACGCGTTTCAGAAGGTCAAAGTTTGCTTGTGGTAGGCTCTGGACGATGCGTTGTATCGCTGATAGTCGAGCGTCCAGATCGTCGAGCTCTGTATTTGGTGATCAATCAGGTGACGAGCACAGGCAGCGTAAGAAAACGCACTAGTGGCTTCAATGATCTCAAAGTAAGACGCAGCAGGAAAGACGGGCTCTGGTAGCAACCGAAACCACGACTTCACAAGATCACACACAGCATGGATATCCGTCGAACTTTTAATCGGACTTAGCCCTACAAAAAAACGGCTTAAACGACGTTGTATTGTGGGAACAGTTCTTCCTACCTCGATTATAAGCGTCACGGAGACTAGTGATCTCAGAGGTAGCACCAGCAATACGATCTTGAGAATATTGTCAGTATAAAACCAGTACTGCATCTACCTGGTGCTTACAGATGCCAACTTCAGTCAAACCACGGCTTTCGATCTCTGAGAGACATTGCTCGATGATTTTTGGCAGAGCGCCATAAGGAACGTCTCCTCCTTCTGCTTCTCGCTCCAGCAGGATTTGTGGGTCAACACCAAAGACTGTCATAAAGTGTAAGAGGGTAGTAGCTTGGGCGCGGATACCGACTTACCAGCGTTAGGGTCTCTTGACGGTGCTGAAGATCCTGCCCTGAGATCGGACAATTCGGGCTTGGGTGAACTGCCGATATACGTAAGTCGACGTTTAGCCGCCATTTTCGTCACCCGGTTGATAGTTTCCAACCACTTGGTCATATCCCGCTTGTTCATCGCCTGCAGCAGATAATGGCCTCCGTCTTCAGTGTCGACCTTGAACATATACGAGCGCTCGTTATTGATGAACTCGACCACACGCGCGTCGACCAAGCTGAGTACCAAAACCGGCTTCCCAGTGGGGGTGAAGTCGAGTTCAGAGACTGTTCGTTTCAACTCGGGACCGTGCGTAGGTTCACTGCCAAATGCACTGGAGATCGGCCGCATGAAGTGCAAAAACGCTGACATGCTTTTCTTGTTGCGATGCTGTTTTGTCGGAGTACCGGGACGCTTCCGGGGTCGCATGGCTTTATTAAGCATGTCTTCCCGCTTCTCGTTCCTTGACTGCTCCAGAAGTTTCTCCTTTTGAAGCCTACTCCGCCAATTGCGATCACGTCTGATCTTGTCCGTCTGGGCCTGTATTATGCGTTGAAATGGACGAGACAGTCTCCTAGTCGACGGCGGACCATTGGCGTTCCCATGTAGTCCTTCGCGCTGGCCTTCCTCCCGTATCCCCCGATGATCAAATTGCAGGGTCACGACTTCGCGTTCGATGTTGTTCAAACGTTCAAAGCCTCGGCGCGCTATATCGCCACGCTGCCGGGAAGAATGAAGTGGCGGTGTGTTGGCAATCAGATTACACAAGTGCCTGAATGACGAAAAAATCAAGGACCTGTCTCGCTGTGGGTAAAATGACTCACCTGCGTTTATCAAAGTTGACGAGGCTCTGACCATCTTGGCTTGGCTCTACTACGTCAGGTGTCGATATAACGTCAAGAAGCCGTTCTATGACCCAACCCATATCAACTGTTAAAGCGTCCTTTGACCCTACAGACTGGCTAGATGACCGTGACAGTAGAGATGACACAGAATCACATTGCGTGTTGCGGCTTGTCGCCACGTTTTGCCAGGCCCTATAGTGCATTCGACTCTCAACGCTCATTACTGCAGATGACACCACGGCTTCAACAAAAGAACGAACACAGACTTGGTCAATCAGCCTCGATTTTGTACTCTTTTCTGTATTCCGTATACGGCTGATTTCAATGGTCCGGAGTAAGAGCTCCATCCGAGCTTGTCGAGCTTGTAACCCTAATCGTGGTGCCACAATCTTTGATATCAGCCATTTGCGTAAGATGGCGTAGGCCCTGATACAACTGCGAACACCGGGGGGAAGAAGTCGGTAAAGAGAATCTTGGCCCAGTTCCGAGATCAGAAGTGAAGGTTCCACGTCTTGGATGTGAGAATAAATGGTCTGAATTTCGATACTATCTTCGGCGGTAGGGCCTTCTTTAGACGAAAACCAGCCGGTTCGGTCAGCGCTTTGAACTTCGAGTAAGTCAGACGTGATGTAAAGATCCTAATACGGACCCGTTTTCAGCGTCAGAAATGAAACATCAGAGAAATATATACCTCTTCCGTAACATTGCTAAACGTCGCACAGGCCATGCCGTCAAGAATCTCCACTAGCTCCTCAGCCTTTACTCGATCAATATCAGGGGATTCCCTAGCGCTCATGTTCCGCACACGGACAATGCTTGGCGACGGTATGATGGCCGATGACGAGGACGTTCGTGAAGAAGGGCGCATCGACTGACTTCGGAAGTTACGGCGAAGAGACTGCCTCATCTCACGTAATGACGACATGGACTGCTTTAGACTAGGCTCTCCATCAAGGTCCGCGGGAACACGAAAAACGTGGTCATCAGGACTCTCCAAAAAAGATTGCAGGCTTTGTAGCAACTGCGGGTCATCCAAAACATCTTGAGCACCACCTCCCCCCGTGACCCACTCCAGCATTGTCTCGAGCACCCCTGCGCGAACATTCGCTTTTGACAAATATTCAGATAATCGTGGTGGCGAGCTTCGAGGCTGGGCTTTGATGTAC